AGTGTTTGGCATATAGCAGGTGCTTAATAAATGCTTATATTCTTCTCCCCCCTCATTTTGAGGATCTTTTTTCTTGGTAAGAAAATAAAACAAATAAAAGTTGAATAATTCTGTTCTAATTTCAGTGTTTATCACTATATCATACCTTCCACTCCAAGCAATAGCCCTGTCCCTTTTTAAATCATCCTCTTGCCTCCACTTCCAACCAAAGTTTTGTTTTTAAAGTTCTTTTTCTTGTCTACAGCATAGCTCATAGGCTCATTATGAATTTTTACATTGCTGAACTTATTCTTATAGAACCTCAATCACTAGCCCTTTTTTCTATCTTTTAAACATCTAAATTAGAACAAAATTTCCTTGTATATATTCCCTGGTCTTTTTTCTCTTTTCTTTCTCATCACAATCATTTGTCCTTCTATCCTCAATTTCATTTTTGAGAATGGACTAACTTCCCTTATGGACTTTTAGGCCATGGACTCCCATGTATCATTTCTCTGAACTTTTAAAAAATCTGACATCTCAAAGTCTATAATGTACATGAGATTATACTTGACTCTCCCTTCCTTATCTGTAGCAAAGTCGCAGATAGCATGGTGACATTTTTTTTCTTTTGGCATGGTCACTTCTTCACAAACTTCCTCTCGTTCCTACTTCAGTAAACAATTATTCATTAGGATCAGGTCTAAAATAGCCTCTCTCCTGGAATCTCCCTCCACCTTCTGAAGGATGAAATTGTCATCAAAGAAAGTTAGAGATGTGTCACCTACTCTGCTTTTAGAAGAGCAAGGTCATCTCAGTAAATGTTTGCTTAGTTTAAATCCCCTGTTGCTACCATATCATGCCTAGGCCCTTGCTCTATGATTTGTTTCCTGAACTCATTGTCTGTTTACAACTTCTGGCTGTGTGGGCTGTTGTTTCATTCTACCACAGTATACTTTTGGTCTCTCCATTTTTTATCTTCATAAAAATACTCTCCATCATAATAGATTTCTTCCTAAAAGTAAAAGGACATGATATATAATAGTACTGCACTGACCAGCTTATCAAATCTATTAATTTTGAATAAGATTTCTTCATTTGCTGTTAGTCATGTTGGACCAAATGTCAATGATACTTATAAGACTGAATTTGGATCTTTAGATTAAGTTATCCTTTTATTACTCAATTTCTATGTGTTTTTGCATAGACTTCTGAGGCTATAAATATTACTGCTGCACTCTTAGGTATTATCTCTGATGAATTATTGAACATCTCTACTGCTATTCTTCCTTTATTGTACCTGGTAATCTCTGTAGCATCTGACATGCTGCATGTATATAGGAAGTTTTCTCTATAATCATCATCATCATCATCACCATCTCACATTAATGCCTGGGACATAGTAAGTGCTATTTAAGTGTTAGTGATTTTTATTATCATCATTGTGATTATATTATTTTAGACATCAAGATTTTTCATTTGATCCTCACATGTGAGAGAAGTGCTATTGATATTCTCTTTTACAGATGAGGTAGTTAAGGTTCAGAATGGTTAAGTGATTCGCTCATGATCCACAGCTAGTAATTGTTTGAAGTAGCATTCAAACCTATGTCTTCCTGGCTCAAAGTCCATTCCTATCCAATATACCATATCACCCTCATTGCCTTCTTAAAGTCATTTTGATCCAATCTGTGGATTGTATACAATTAAAAAGGTTGTTAATGGCATAGTTTACTTTAGATTCTTAATCCAGCATTTACTTCTTTTATGACAGTTTTAATAGATTCAGATACTTAACTTTTATGATAAATAGTTACATACATAAAAACTGGGAAGTATGACTGGCAAAACATGGGAGCAAATAGTCAAGGAAGTGGTCTATCCTAGGGAAAGTTCTGGAGATCCTAGATGAAACTGGATCTTTGGATCCATTTTTAAAGTTAACATAACCCCCCAGCCTGCTTCAGAAACAAGTTTTAAGGAATATAGAAATCACTCACAACAAAGCCACACTTTCCAGTGATACTGCATCAATCCACCAGCAAGTCCTCAGAGAATGTCTGCTGTGTAGTGGATGCAACTCTAGGCACTGGGCAGGAGCAGGGTGATGTAGATAACACAAGAATTATAGCTAACAAAAAGAAGCTTACAAACTGTTCTGGAAAGGATGACTAAGGACACCAAACAAGAAAAAACTATACAAGGCAACACATTTGAAAGTTCTAACAGTGTATTTGAACCTTGAAGTGCTATGTGATTTCAAGTAAGGAGATTAACAAAAGCTGGAGTTGTTAGGGAAGACCACCATAAAGAGATGGGATTTTAGCTGATCTTTGAAAGATAGGGAGGATTTAGATAAGGAGACAACAAAAGGGAAAGCGCTGCAAGTCTGGGGAAGACCATATAAAGAAAGGCACAGAAGCCAGAACAAGTTATGTATATTAACAAGATAATGAGATCAGTCTGACTAAAGAGACTGGTGTTAGAAAGTCATTGACAATACCTTTGGAGATAAGTAAGGAGGACAATGGGCTTTGAAAGTCAGACAAAAGAGACTGGTCTTGATATGAAAAGAAAATGAAAGCCATTGAAGGTTTTAGAGTCCAGTAGTCACATGATGAAAGTAAAGCTTAATAAAGATTAGCCTGGCAGAGGCATAAAGGTTGGATTGAGGAGACCGACATGATTCATAAGAGGTCAGTGAGGGAACTGTTGCAGTAGTAGTGATGATGGTGGTAGTAGTAGTAGTGGTGGTGATGGTGATGGTGGTGGTGGCAGTGGTAGTAGTAGTAATTACATATTTAAAGGTCCAATGATTTCACTAGTACAGATACTCTCTGAACCAACCCTTTACAACCTAGTATTTGCAAATTACCATGGTCAAAACATTTGCCATTCTGCAGTCTACCCAGTAATGAGACTCTCCAAACTTTGCTAGCTTGGCCCTCAGACAACAAACATAGAATCAGGCACCAGGCCTACACTTGAAGCCTTTCCAACTTGGTAGGACCTGCCAGATTTTATGTTCCTCCAGAGGATAGCCTTCAACAGCCCAGGACCACCTCCACACTGGGTTGAAGAACCAGAGGAGGATTTTAGTGGAAGAAAGAAAATTATTTATGTTGATATAGCACTTTATAAGGCACTTTTCACCTATTCTCTCATTTGATTAGAGAGCAGCATGATGTAATGCAACTACCACTGGATTTGGAGTCAGGTGATCTGGGTATAAAAACCAGCTCTGAAATTTATTACTTCTGTGGTCTTGAACAAGTCATTCTGTTTCTGTTGACCTCAGTTTCCTCAGTAAAATGAAGGAGTTTGGCCAGATTATCTTTAGGGTCCCTTTTGTCCCCAAATTTATGGTTCCTATAATCATCATAACAATCTATTGAAGTAGTTAGTGCAAATGTTATATTGCTCATTGCTATTTGAGATCAGGGAACAATTTCACTCATGTCTTTTGTATCCCTAACCCTTAACACAGTGCTTGGCACATAGTAAGCACTTGATAAATGCGTATTTAAGTATCAATAAGGAAAATGGAGCTTAGAAAGTTTTATTGACTTGCCCAGGCTCAAACACAGGTCCTCTGACTCCAAATCCAGTATTCTTTGCACTTTGATAATAAGCATCATTAATTCAGATCTGAGGAGATGTTCTTGACCTGAGTGAGTTTCATGGATCTGCCTTACTTTAACTGGCATCACAAGAGTCATTTCAGAGCCAATCTGGAGGTAACTAGGTAGCAGGAGGGGGTAGAGTGCAGACTTGGGAGACAGGAAGACCTCAATTTAAAACCTGCTTCAAACACTTACCAGCTGTGTGGCCTTTTGTAATCCATTTAGCTTTTCATAGCCTCAGTAACTTCATGTGTAAAATGAGGGGGTTGGACTGGGTGGAATCCCAGGTACCTTTCTAGATCTAAATCTATCATCTGAGGTCCTTGGCTTAAGTAAGGTGAACCTAGCCTTCATGTTGCTACTTTTCTCTTTGTCTCTTTGATGATTATGTAAAAATATTTGCCAGTGTGGAGTGCTAGGTGTAGTTTTTGTTTAATTTTAATTGATGTTTCTAAAATGACATTTTCTGATATTTCCTTAAACACTTGACCCCTCCCTTGAAAATAAGATAATTATACCAGACACATAGAACATTCTGCACCTATAGTCCCAAATTCCTCCTGAGAGGAGGACTACATGTTTCATCCCCATTCTCCATTGAAATGAGGGAGTTTTAAATAAAAGTTAGCATTTAGATGAGGAGAAAGAAAGGAAATTAAATTTCTTAAAGAATTTCAAAAAAATTGGACTGTGCCTGCGAGATTTCGATTGAATAGTGAATGTGTGTACAAGATAGTTCTCTAGCTGTGCTGTAATTTTCATCGCAGTGAGATTGCTTAACTCCATACTTAATGGATCAAAAGTAGTTTTTGGCTTTCCTCAAAATATCCAAATAGCCCAGTCACTGATTCATTTTTAAACACTAGTACCTATTTCCTTCTCTTTTATTTAACAAAATTTGTAGTGCTTTAAAGTTTTTTATGACAAACATGAAATTCTCCCTTGAATTATTTCTTTTTAAAAGTAGCACAGATAAGAGACATTTTCAAAGTCCCCCCCAAGTTTTTCTTGATCAATGCCAGTTCAATTCTTGAGAATAATAGGATGAGATTAATCTTGTTGTAAGCTTTTTTTTTAATTCCCTTACCCACCTCGATTAGTTAGGTTGTCTTTTGTGTTTGTAGAATCTCTGTTTTCTTGGCTCTTTTTTTTTTAAGGGGCTAGAGGAGGGATGCTGTCAGGTGAGGGTCAAAATTGAAAATAAGAGGATTGACTCACCCACAATGCTTCAAAGACTTTTTTAAGTGGATATAAAAAAATCTTCAGTGTAGATCAAACTAGGGGTGTAGAGTTCTTAATGGTGTTCCTCTTTGAAGTTACAAAAGGGCAAAACCCATAAGATGGGACAATCAGATGACAGAGAACAACTGCTGACATTTCTTCTTTTCGCCTTTGTAGGTACCATAGCCACCTACCTTCTTCTGGACAGCTGAATTTGGTCAATGGCATACAAGTTCATCAAGACAAAATAGTTGCAGAAAATCTTCAAAGGTACCAAAATCAAATATTTATCAGATGATTAATTAAACCCCAAAGCCACCTGGACATGCTGTGTACCCTGGGTATTAAGTAAAGCTAATTATTAAGCAAGGAGGGTGGAAAAGGGGTAAGGTATTCTTCCTGGTTTCTGTGTGTCTGTGTAGGAGGTGGGGAGGATATGAGTCAGGGGGAAATGAGGTTAAATGGTTTCCTTCATCATTTGCTAACCTGCTAAGTGGTTATGTGAGCTAGTCAAATGGTTATATTTGCCATTATATAGATATTTTCATGATACTGAGAGACATTTCTGTTATATGTAGTTCATAGTATCTTGTAAACACTTAAAATAAGTAAATGCTCTATAACATATAACATGTTTGAGTTGCCAAAGGTACACAGGTTAAAAAATGAAATACATCCAGCTATGAAATTGACATGGCAATGAGAGTCAGGGCTACCATGGATAATTGAAATCCACAGATAATCCTTAGACCTTTCACCTTAATGCTAATAAATAACCAAATTCACAGAAATTTGGACATCCCTTCTTTTTCTTTCTTTTTCTTCCCTTTGGTGAGATGCTGGTGACCAAAGACATGCCTAAAAGTCAGGCAAGAAGAGGGAAGAACAGAAGTAAAGACTTAAGTAATCCAAATACCAAATAATCAGTCCCTGAATATTTGAACAGGCCATGATGAGAAGCAAAGGTAGCTGCATTTCTCCATGTTCAAGAGGTTTAGTTGATTATTCAAGTCATGTTGAGTTTTATGTAGTTGGAAAAATGATGAACATTTTGGCATAAACATTTGGTATATAGAGTCTCTGCATCATCATCATCATCATAGCTGCATGACCCTGAATAAGTCACTTAGCCTCTGTCTATCTCTCAGTTTCTTTGTCTGTAAAACGAGGGTACTAGTAATACCTACCTCCCAGGGTGGTTGTGAGGATAAAATGAGATATTTGTAGAGTGCTTTGCAAACCTCAAAGCACCATATAAATATTAGCTATGTAGATGACAAGGAGTTCAGAAGTGCTTTAATAAATGTGTGTGTGTGTGTGTGTGTGTGTGTGATATACAAAATCTATTGCTCAATCTTCTGGTGTTGTCTTTCCAAACAGCCCAGTTGGGACTCAGATGACAGACTTACAATCCATCCCTGGACCCATACTAAAAACTAGTACAGTGGAGAGAGTGATGGACTTGGAATCAGGAAGACCTGGGTCCAAATTCCATGTCTGACATTTATTAGCTGTGTGATCATGAGCAAGTCACTTATCCTCTGTAAGCCTCAGTTTTTTCATCTCTAAAATCAAAGGCTTGGGCTAGATGACTGCTAATGTCCCTCTCGGCTCTCAATCTATGATCCTACGGCCATTCCCACTTAGGTAGAACATTCCAGAGTTACGCTCCAGTTGCATAGCTCTCAGAAACCTCCATGCCATGATAGTATACGAGAAGAGGACTTGCCCAGAGTAGGGTAATAATAGTGCCTTAGGATTACATCATTTATTAGGGAAACTAATAGATTCAAAGGGCCACTCCATACCAAGTCACTCGTTATTCACCTCTCAGTCACAAAAAATCAAAACTATTAGGAAAGGAAGACTATAAACTTCAGCATTTCTGTTCACAAGTTGTTCCCAATATTCCTTTGTGTCACTCATATTTAAACACAAATGATATTGGATAGAAACAACGGGGAACAAGGAAGGAAGACATAGGTCTATGTGAGCATGATGGCAAGTTGCAAAAAACACTCATAGGAGAGACGTGGTTTCATTTCATGTGAGATTGCATCTGGTGAGTCCTGCTTCAAGTCGAACTTAACCAAAAAGAATGCAATTGAAACTACTGAGTTTCTCCTGATTTCGAATTGTAGCCTTTCACCACCTTTACATTTTGCTTTGGTTTTCATTCAGAGCCATGTGCTGTCCAATGTTTCTCTGGAATATGGTTTACAACTCTCCTTGAAGTTTATGAACCTCAAGAAAAAAGGTTCAGTCAGGGGCAGCTAGGTGGGCGAAGTGGATAGAGCACCTGCCCTGAAGTCAGGAGGACCTGAGTTCAAATCTGGCCTCAGACCAAACACTTGACACGTGTGACCTTGTGTGACCTTGGGCAAGTGAGATTGCCTCACTTAAAAAAAAAAAAGGTCCCATGAATCTAGCCCAAATCTCAGTTTTGTTGTTTGTTTGTTTTAATCCAGCTCCATTTTCTAAACCTCATGAAATCAAAAATTTTATTTTTATAGCACAAAAGACAAGTAAGAATTGTACCTTGGAATATCTGGGTTTGAGGAAGCTAAGTTTCTTAACATTGTTTACAGTGCCTGGCACATAGTAGGTACTTAATAAATGTTTGTTGACTGACTAACTCTGACTCTGGGCCTTAGGGTGTGTCCCAAGATCCCATGGAGTTTTGCCCATATCAAGAGTGTAAACATGTTAGTGAAATTCACCAATTAGCCTAATTGTTTTGTAACTCCTTGATGAGACTAAGCTATACTAAACTCTCATCCAGTAAACATGTATTGTTATTTTAAAGAACTATGCTAGAAACTGAGAGAGAAAACAAAGTGTAGATCTCTGTCTACAGATAGTCTCTGTCCTTATGGAACTTTAAGTGAAATAGTGAAATTTAAGTGAAATTCCAGTGTTCCAAGCTGATTGACTCAGCAAACATAGCTTTGAATTTAATGCTATCAGCAACTATGAAGCACACACACACACACACACACACACACACACATTTTTAAAAGTGAAAAAAAAACTGCAAGAATTAACAGGCTGTACATTTGGTAATTAAAATTCCTAAAGTAATTCCATGTGACCAGGTCAGAAAGACCTATAAATTACTTATAAATTAAAAGCAGTTTGTACCAGGGTTGCAATAAGTGGCTAATCCTAACTAACATAGTTATTTCACTGCTTGTCAGAGGGAATCAATATTTCAGACAATTTCCTACTTTTTTATATAAACAAATGAACATTGAAGCAAAGGGAAGGGCCCAAGATACCTGTGTGGATTTAATTCTTGCCAGTGTGGGTTTTCCCTCCAATAATGCATATTGCAACCCAACTCTCCCTGCCCATCTCATATTATTCTTGTTTACCTCCTATAAATCTGCCACAAGGGGTCTGTGTGCCAGGTGACATTCTTCAAGTTCTCATGACTTTGCACACATATGAATGGAGTACAAAAACTGTCTTCTGGTTGTCCCTCACTCTCCTCTGAGACCAGTTTGTCATTTTTTCCATGGACTTATTTTTCGGATGACATCCCTTATGTCACTTCTTCTATATGATTCCTCTTTTTTATGTATTGCAGTCTGCTTGCACTCAGTATTTGCCTTTCCATTGAAAGGCACTTTAGGTGATCCTCTACTTTACAACACAACATTGGCATACATAAGTACAATACACAATATATGATAAGTATATGAAAGATGTATACAACAAAATGTGATGTGAAGTCTAAGGTTGTTGGGAAAGGCTTCATTCAGGAAGCAACATTTTAGTTGGGCTTTAAAAAACGTGCAGGATTTTAGCATCAGAGGGCAAGGAAAGGCATTATAGGCAGAGGGGTCATCATGAGCAAAGGAATGGAAGCAGAAAAAATTCAGTAAGAGAATTTCTTACTGAAATACATCTTATTACGTTATATCACAAAAGGAATGGAATGCAAGAAATCATTCAAAAATAAAGTTCTCAAGAAAGATAATAGCTCAGAAAACAATCAGAGGTTCCCTTTGACCCATAAAACTCCTTAGCCTGGCATTTAAGACCTTATGCAATCTGGTTTCAACCAACTCTTCCATCCTTATGCACTCTAAATTCCAGGCAAAGTGGACAACTAGTACTTTCAAAAGATCAGTCTATCCCCTGCTACATTCTTCCATACATAGAATACCATTCCTCATGCTTACAAAGGACTCTCTCCTTCCTCATTGTCAATTGTTGACATTCTTTTCATTTCAAGCCCTGGCTCAGGCAGCACCACCTCCAGGAAGCTTTCCCCAATCTCACCAGTTAAAACCAATTATTCTTCCTAATATTTTCTGTATCTCTCATCTGTTCTTGTCAAACTCTACTGTTTGACATGCTTATTTGTATGACAACATGCTTTTAGACTCTAAGACTAAGTCCTTATGGGATCACTCCATTTTTCATCTTTGTGTCTAGAACAATTCCTTGCAAGTGGTTGACACTTCAAAACCTGATAGTTAAACCAACTTGTTCAAGCAATGGAACTCATTTATCTTTTATCTTAAAATTTTTCTATCTTCTCAAACACATTGAGTAATACCAGTTGGATGACTGAACCTTTTCTGTGTATGTGAAATCATTTGCCAAAAAGGTGATATAACTGTAGGTTTCCTATGAAGTAGAAAGAAATATAGATCTTGATGATTCAGACCATTCAGGTTGACTCATGGAATAGGATGGGAAAAGACTTATTAAAGGTCATCTTATCTACTCCATGGGAAAATTGTTCTCTGTAGCACATGCTTTGCTTTGAGTCTTTAAAAATGAGAGTGTTGATAATAGTATTCAATTTTTACTTTAAAAAGTTATCCTTCATTGAAAGCTCCTCTCCCCTTTATTTAATAATTTTATATTTCATGGAACAACTTCTCTTCTTTGGGCCCTATCCTTTATATGTCAGTTCCTCCTGACAGAGAGGCAAGAATTTTTCATTCTAATTTAGGAACTAAACTGAATCACACATTAATAGAACACAATTGTTTAAATCTCTAAGCCATTAGTGTGACCTGGTACCACTACACTTTACCACACTTTGGTGCAGGAAACTCAATGGGAAGTTTTATGGAGCCCTGCTCCTCTTCCTCTCACCCTATCATAGGTAACCCAGTTAGTTTCACATATCACTTTCTTTCAGAATTTCTGGTCTCAAAGATTTGGGACTTGGCCCTCCTATAGGTTTGACAGATTTAACACACATTCTTTTTGGGTACCCTGGGTGATATAATGATAAATAACAAGAAGTA